CGCCGCACGTGTCGCGCGTGTGATCGCGTCTTATATGGTAGACACTGACAGACTACAGTAACAATGAGTGACAATGAACTGTGTGAGTGATGCCTTCTGTGAAGGCGGTTCTCAGTGTTTTGTACAAATATGTAAATAGTGTAAATTTTTATTAAAATATATTGTTGATTTTTATTTATCATGAATTGTTTGAATTTTAACAAAAAAAAACCTATTCCCGTATACCTACAGAGTTATTGATAAATCGACGTATTCCTGTTAGATGATAGAGGGGAACGTTTGCGGTGGTTTTTAGAATTTTTTTAGTTTGATATGCAACTTAAAAAAATTATTAATTACTACTTTACGCCCGGAACTCAGTCCGCGTGTAATTAAAAGAAGCCTATGTGTTCAACCAAACAAAAGACTAACCTCTACATGTACGCTAAATTTCATCGAGATCTGTTAAGCCGTTTAGACTACAAGCTCCAACAAATCCCTCCATCTAAAGTTTCACATTTATAATGTTGGTAAGTGTGGTGTCCGAAATAAAAGTCGTGCGTAAAGCTCAAGATGTTAAATCCGACTGATACAAATTATGCACATATAAGTCAGGTATAATATTGACAGTTTATTTACAGGTTATTTTTTCGTCAGATTTATGAAAACCTATAAAAACAGATTATTTAACAAATTTAAAACATCAATTATCTGTCCAATTAAAAAAATCGAGCTTAAGAATTATATTGTTTTAGGCTTTCTATAAATCAGAAGAAAAAATTAAGTTGAAATAAATAGTTTTTTTTAAAATATACGTTTGAAGTTGTAGTTTAGATTTATAAAGAAAATAGTAATGATTATTCAAAAATTGTTAACTTTTGCAATGCAAATGGGTGTTAAAATTACCGAAATGGTTTATAACCTCCTAGCGGGAATACGTCGAATTACCAATGACCCTGTACATCCGTAGATGTTCACGTGTGTATTCAGTGAGTTTGAAAATTTGTCATCAGGTTTTGGAATAAAAATAAAACTCCAATGATATATTGAAACATGTATTATTAATAAATTTCCAAACATATATTACATCAATAATTAGATATACATAGCTCTCTATACAAAGATATAACATTTGATAAATAATTACATCATTTACAATTTACGTTCCCGCGACACGAACCCTGAACTTTACTTTCCAAACGTCACTTCGTTACGGATTTAAAACATCAAACGACATTGTATAGTTTACAAATATTAGGCTACAAGTTTTTTTACAAAAATAAAATATGGAATGTTAGAAAGAAAATCGTATTAAAAATGTCCTTTCTCTTTTAATAAAAGCAATATTGACACACTAATTTTATTAAAAAATTGTCTAATTTCGTACTTTAAAAACTACGTGTAGATTATAAATAGGCCATTTGTCACTTTCTAATTATAATAACATTTACACTGACACAAATAAATTGTTGATTATACTGCGACTTGTCTCGTCCTTCTGACTTAGTGTACACATAATTTTACATTCCAGTCCAATTGAAATGCCCTAGGTTTACATATCTCCAGGTTCATCGCTGATTATAATCGCTGCATTAGAATAATGTAAACTGGACATTATGTTTAAATAATTTTAGTTTAGTAATTCACAAATAACAGTTTAACATTACAACCTAATCAAACAGAAGAAATTTCTAGAAACATAACATTCAGCGTCGTACAAAATACTTTTATATAGGACGTAGCAATAACAATAACCGATTGCTAAGATAAAATAAAAACAGAACAGTATTCTCCCAGTCAATTAGTTGATAAATGGAATTAAGCTATCCTTCCTGTGCAGTAGTTAAGGTGTCGAAGAGCTCAGAGCCGGGGTTAGCCAAGTCGTTACCGGTACCGAAATAATTGGAGAAATTGAAAATACTACTCGATTCCTTCCTCACATTCTCTGTGGAGAGGAACTGAGCTAGATGTCCGCTGTGGCTGGGCGTGGTGGTCGCGCTAAAGGACCTGTGAGGCTGCACACTTTGGTCCCTCGAGCCGGATAAGTAGCGATTCTCTTCAGGATCATAGTCGCTTAAAGTCACCTCCTTAGTTTCATTGTAGGGATTAGATAAATACTCTGCGTACAACTCACTCTGTTGTGTGTCACGAGCATTACTGTCTGTGTCGGTCGCTGTGGACTCTACGGCGCCTGTGTAAGGTTCATTTTGGTTCGCATCGGCTGGCGGGCCGGAGTCAGCGGGCGGCGGGTACAGCACCGGTGGTTGGGTTTGTATCGATATACCGATCGGTGTTGAAATCATCTGCAAAGAACAGATACATTTAGCTATTTCATTTTCTCGTACTAGTCTAAATAAATTAAAGTCACTGTTAATATTAACTAAAATATTTACTTTAATAGTTTCTAATTATTTTTGATAGTTCTCACCTCGTTCAAAGGCTGCAACAGCACGGAGGAGGTGAGGCCGGTCTGGTCGTACAGCGGGTTCCTGATCGGCACCAGGCCGCCGAGGGGCGCGGACGGAGGTGCC